TGTGCATTTCGTGCAGCTTGCAATTACTTTGCAAGACGGAGTGGGGTATTCACTCTAGAGTAGTTCTAAAAAATGTGAATTTCATTTAGAAGAAATATTTAAATAAATAGATAAGATATGTCATTAGCTAATAAGATATGTGTATATAGTTAATATTTTATGTATAAATTCTGAAGCGCAGAAAGCGTTCCAATATAAAATTTTAAGAAATGTAATAACTATTTTCTTCTTAACTTTTTCTTGTTAATTTAATGATTTAATTAATTTTATTAACAAATTTATTATTTTTTGCGATATTGCACTTACTCTTAATCAATGATTTTCGAAGAAAGTTCTGACATTAAAGTTGAAGTGACATTAATCCGATTTCTGTGATTTTAGAAAATGCTAATAAACTGAGCCAGGTAATCAATTCATGAATTTTATGTTACTAGTTTTTAAGTATTTCAAATATTTTATATCTATATATAATTAAATTAATTCTATTCATAAACAATAATCACACTAGCCGTGTGCTACAAATAAAAAAAATAAGTTGTTTAGTATTTTTTGCAAAATTTGCATACGTACATTGTGACCGAAAAGTTTTCGGAAATTCTCATTTAAAATTCGCGCGCTGTATATTTTTCGATATTTTAAAGTTTATGTAGTTTGGCAGCACTGTCCTTAATTACTATGCCAAAAATGAGCGCGATCTGTCGGACAGTTCGTTTACGGCAGCTGTTGAAACCAGTTCACCTCAGTAGTGCGTTGCGAAAAAAACAATGGAAAAAAATATTGAACAAAGAGTTTGCATCAAATTTTGTTTTTCGAACGAAATTTCGTGTGCAGAATCGTTGCGAATGCTACAAAAGGCTTATGGGGAATCAGTTTTATCGAAAACTCAAGTTTATGAGTGGTACAAAGCCTTTCAGGACTGTCGTACGACCGTCGAAGACATGCCGCGTTCTGGACGACCTTCGACCTCTACCACCGACGAAAACATTGAAAAGGCAAAGGAAATCGTGTTCAAAAATCCTCATGTGAGTGTTAGAGAGATAGCACGAGAGCTAGGCATCGGTCGTGAGATGGCTCGTTTGATTTTGGTGGACAATTTGTGTATGCGACGTGTCAACGCCCGGCTTGTTCCGATTCACCTCAATTTGTTCAACATTATCAACGATTTTAAGGCCAAACATTCAATAAATACCATCGAACAGCCACCGTATTCACCTGATCTTGCACCGTGTGACTTTTTCCTGTTTCCCAACCTCAAATTACCACTCAGAGGAACGCGTTTTGAATCCATAGAAGACGTAAAACAGAATTCGCAGAGGGAACTCAAAGCCATACCGGAAAGCGCCTATAAAAAACGTTTTGATGATTGGAAGAAACGTTGGCATTTGTGTATCGCTTCTAATGGAGCATATTTTGAAGGAGATAAAATAAATATTGATGAAGATTAAGAATTTTGCGTTTTATTTAAAATTTCCGGAAACTTTTCGGTCACAATGTATATGTCTATAAATTATTTTTTTATATACAAATCACGTTTTTGTTAGTTCAAATATGGTTTTAACTGCAAAAAACACAGAAGATTTAGAAACGTGACCGGCTTTTTTAATATTTTTCATTTCATATGAAAATACTTTTCAGAAAATAGTCCGGCTCGATTTGACTTTGTTCGGTTTGGCTCAGTGCTGACATTTACAAGTTCTTAGAAGATGTTGGCAAAATGTCAAGAAAGATAAAGTTTCATAATAAAATAAAATAATTTTTTTAAACTAAATATCTTTACTTAAGATTATATAGAATTTTAAATGTTAGAGGTACATATATATGGTATATATGTTTAAGTATAAGTAAATTTCATCATATGTAGTATATATGATAAATAACCTTAATAAAACATAGATATTTTCATTATATATTTATAAATATTCTATATATGTATATCGGAATTTTATTACTTTACAATAAAATATTAACATATATTTATGTCATATATATACTTACTTTTATATAAGTTCAGTAAACGCTTTCAATTTTTTTCAAATGATAAGTAATAAATTACGCAGAATATTTCTTTCTAAGTAGCATAGGATTTTTTAATCCAAAAAACAAAAAATTTTGTAATTGAGGGATAGAGCAGTTTCCCTACACAAAAAAAAAAAATTTCGGGTTCTTGCAAGAAGGAAACATTTTCTCATTTATGATTTTTGATTGGAAATGGAAATAAAATCTTAAATATATTTTTATATTAAATATACATATTAAATATATAAGTATCTATAAGTACTTTCAAAACACATGTGTTTAATTACTAAAATTTAAAATATATAATCTAAATATACATGAAATTAAATTATGTTTACACTTATCTTACCACTTTATCACATTCTTACAAGTTTTTCTAGTTAAGTACAGTAGTCGAAACATAGCATTAAAACTCTTTTAATTGATCTTGCAATACTTAATATGACACATATGATAAAAAACTGGTACTTGTATTTACAACGTATCTCAGGGTTTTCACTTTTTACTATTTCTTTACTACTTTTTTCACCAATTACAATATGCATCCAGCTTAAAAAATGCTAACGTCAGATATGTATATATGCTATATATATGTATATGATTAAATATATATGAAAATATATATGATTAACTTAATTAATACAGATGTAGCAAAACAAGAAATTCACTGAATTAACTTCTTTCAAATCAATATGTAGACTTAGACGCCGATAGCTTTTAACTATCTGAATTATTAAATAGACTACGTCTCGCAAAAACATACGTTATTACTATCAATTTGAAATTATATATTTTACTTATTTTGTAATAAGTGGGCCTAACTTTATTTATATTATATGAAGAAATCCAAAATTAACCTAAATAAAGACAAAATGCACTAATGCACTAAAAAAAAAATAATAATCAGTTCTCTTAACTTGACCGATTTGCTGATACCGTTAGTATTTAAAAGAAGAAATTTTACGATATATTTAAATATGTTCAATAAACTAATAAATCTTACTATAAATTATACACATATCTAGTATAATAATTTGTTTTAAAACGCATAATATATACTCGAACTAAAACATTTCTCTGATTGGTATTTTTGATGAGATTCAATTTTTTTAACTATCTTCATAACCACATACAGACTATCAGCAAATAGCAGCATATTTGACCTTTTGAAAAACTCTTCTAGTTTTATTATATTTACCCAGTTATTGTGATTACACATCGTTACTATGAAAATATTCAGGAAATAGACTTCTTTCTATGTACGCATATATGGTATAACCAAATAATAATCTTTGTTAGTGTTACAAAACTTTTAGATTGCCTGACGTTTAAACTTATCAGTAAATATATTTTTTGCATAATGTAATTAGGTATAAACAAACTTATAATGTAATTAAAAATAAGCATGAAAATCAAATGTTTAAAAATACTCAGTATTCCAATAATTACTCTTTATTAATTTATTACAATATTCGTAAATTTAGTCCGGGGTATTAAATTGTTTCCTAAATAATTCAATTAAAATAGGCAATGTCAGATTTTTCTGTTATTTATACCCGATTTTATTCTTTGCAATTTTATTGTACGTATGTCCAGAAATAGTATATACAGTCAAATTCATTAGCATAGGGACCATAACTCCTCTTCTAAGTAAAGGAACTTTCTTATCGGCCGATAGTTGGACTCACTACAAACACTTATTTTTCGAAAGTCCTATTTACTATGTATTTTGTTAAATTGACTCCACTAATAAGTAATCAATATTTAAATTATTTAAGAATATAATACAAAGATGATAAAGCTTTATATGAATGACATACATATATATATAAATATCTAACATACATATATGTATATATACATACTTATACAATATATATATAATGTTTATGTATAATATACATAATATATATGTGTCTATACATATATATATATATAATATAGGGTATATCTAATAATTCTAATAACTCTTTAATAGTTTTTTAACATTAAATTTATTACTGTTAATTTATTAATGTAAAATAAGCTACAAGTTGCTTTTCTTGCTATTGTTTTTATATAAATTATATTTATGAGATACTTCATCTTTTGTACTATAAGCGTTTCTATCCTGTTTAAAAAAAAAATTTAAATTAGTCTGAACAATAAAGTCTCTACTTTTATACTTCATGATAATTACTAATATCTATATATAAAATTAGAAATTATTTTTTCAAATATCATACAATATATGTATTTTCCATTTGATTGTCATTTTATGACTGTTGAAATCAAACATTTTACCTTATCTTGTGTTCAAAAATTTTGAAAAACATGATTTTGATAAAACACTTCAAAAATTATATCTTATTCAAAATTTCTTGTCACAACAATGAATCATCGCTTAGTTTATCAAACTAAATTGCATCCAACATATTATTTCCTTAGTTGTTTATATTCGTGAAAAAAAAAATTATTTTCTAGCATATATATAAACAAACTTAGGAAAATATTGCTCTCAACTCGCTATTTTGGTTGAAACTAAGCAGAATCAACATTTTGGTACTGCTTGCAACACTAATCTCACGTATCTTAAGCAAACCTAAGCAAAGGAAACTTGCCACATTCTGACAAATTTGCACAGATGACAGCTGTCATTTTAGTACAAGAACTGACAAGCTGAAGACAAGGTTGCTTTTCTATTTCTCATTTCTATTGTTTTGAATTAAAATCATCACAAACATTTTATTTTGAATGATAAAACGTGCTACATAATCACCAAAAATTTATGAATCAGAACTAGCTTGATAAGACAAGCAAAATATACAAATGTAGAATTAAAATTAAAGATTAAATTATTTAGCAAACGAAACTCATTAAACAAATACACAAATATTTTAAATTAAAAAGAAAAAATAAATTAAAACTTTTATATATTCCAACAAATGAATGAATGACTTTACTCACGTTTCACTTTTATTCTCTTCTTGTTTTTTATTTGATAGATCACAACACAGTTCAACAAAATCAACATGATATTGAAGCTGTAAAATTACATCCCAATCTGGATGATCCAGTCCCAGAATACACATTAGTGTCCGGTTTACCCTCGTATGAAGCAGCATTGGAACTTTTGCACAAAACCCCACAATCCTGCTTAATCGTTTATCCAAGCGTATATGAAGTATTTAATGAAAACGAGAAAGCAGCAACAACATCACAGAAACAACAATTGCAATATCTTGATGAAGTAACCGCACCATTGATGTCAGCAACAACAGTCTCAACCGCAACAACAACAACATCAACAGTAACATCAGCAACAAATCCAATTGTAACCAAATCACTTGTTACATCAACAACTATTCCAAGTTATGCCGAAGCCCTTAATATGAGAAATGTCACTGTGACAGCTGTCAATAAAAAATCAGTGCAGCAAGTGTTGCAACAAATTACATCAATAGCACCAACAACAATAGCAGCAGCAACAACAACAACAACACCCAATGAAACCACAAACTTGAGACCAACAGCAACAATTACGAATATCGCATTTGATGCAGTGCCAAGCTATGGGGACACTTTACTTGCCAAAGCATTTGACAAATGTTAATTGTCGAGAAGAAAGCAAGTCAACAGCATCCATTTTCCGCTTTCATCAAACTGTGATATTTTTTAGATGCATTAAATTTATTCTCATTTTTTGCTGTGTTTTGCAGAAATTGTTCTAAAAATTGTTTTAGCCACATTTTCTGTTTTGTGATAAAAAATCATTCATATTCATGCAGTTAACTTAATTTAAAAGTAACCCTAAAGAAATATCCTAAATGACCATTAAATTATAAGTTCAATATAATTATAATTATATTAATATAATTTATAAATTTATATTACCTAATTTAACCTAATTAAATACTTTTAGTTAAGTATTAGTATTAATTTCTTACTAAATGATCTAATTATATTGCTTTAATAACTTAAGTCTATTTTATAGACATTATGTTTATGTTAACTAGTTTTAATTAAAGTCAAAGTTAAGTTTAATTTTTATAAATATGAGTTAAAAAGAAAAAAAAAATTTTTACAAATATATAAAAAAATAAATTATAAAATATTTAAAAGTAATAAATAATTTTTTTATTTTTTATTATAATATCATTAGCAATGCAAAAATACGGGTTTATATTGCACCTTACTACAAACGTAATAGGCGTATTTAGTCTGTCTTGCAAACTCATTGCAAGGTGCACAGATTGCGCGAGCTTGTAATGAACAACAACAAAATACACGTATACTTTCTCGCAAATATTTGCAATCTTTTTATATCTAAATCCGTGCGTATATACCCCCTTAAAAACAACACCAAAAAGAAATTTACTTTCTGAATAAAAATGTGTTATTGTATATCAAGAACCCTGATGAGATAGTCAGGCCATTGTGTGCTATGGTAATCTAATATAATGTCATATAATAATAAAAATGATCAAATAATAGAGCACACCTAAACCACTGTTGCCAGTTCTAGTAAGGTATCCTAAATCTGTTGTGAAGCCAACCATTGACGGTTGTACCTAATCTGAAACACTAAATAGTCACATCAGTACAAAAACAAATTGTCTATTTACTTACGCGTTCCCTATTTGATCTGGCGCAACCTCGATGCAAATAGAGCGCCTATACATTGTTAAGAAGAAAATCCTTTGTAAAACTAACGGCCATCATCACTCCTGTCGATCTCTTTACTCCACCGATGAAGGAAACAATCTTACCCTCAGGTATTCTTCACACAAAAGAACTTTTCATTGATCTTCTTTAAGTTCTGTTTCATGGGCCTCTTAAATCCCTCGCACTCTACTTCAACAAGATGGATCACTACCACCATTCAATTCCACTGTACTACCGCGTATATCGTAATCCGCACGGTAAAGTATACTTCCAGTCTTCTGTTAATGCCCATCATCGCCTATAATTGACGCTCATTATATTGTCACTTCTAGCTTAAACAAACCTAAAAATTAAAATACTAAGCTTCTGACATCTTTACTACCTGATTACTGGAATGCGATTTCAGCTAGATGTCTTTTACAGGCTAATGGCAGAGATATTCTCAACTCGTTCCTTAGAGATGATTTAAGCGGTATTGAGTAAGGTGAACGATCCCTTTTGTTGAAGTAGAGAGCGAGGGATTGGGGAGGTCTGTGGAAAAGAGCTTGAAAAAGGTTAAGGGAAAGTTCGTCAAAGTGCATAATGTGGATGGGAGTGGGAAAGATTAAATCTCACACTATAGCTTCCGATGCTTTCCACATATCACAAAAAAAAAACAAAAAGTATATAAGTGTCGTATTTATGGGTTAGTTCCTTAGGTTCTGTAGGAGTGTACAAAAGTACACTGTAATGTATTGTTTATATATAAATGTAAGTTTAAGTTCGAGTTTGAATAAACGTTGCTTCCATTTGCTTAAACTCTATGTATTTAGTAACAAGTTATTTCAGGAGACATTCTTGTAAGGTCAATATATTCTTATATATTAATAGTAATACTCGTAAAAGTTTAGTTACATATTATATTTAATAATAACATATTGTTACTATAATGTTACAGTATATTGATCCTTTTTTTCGATTCAGCGCAACTGGGCACTTTTACTCTTTGATAGCTGGGGGTACTACAGGGTCCCACCCATCTCATTGACTAATTTGTGTATTCTCTATAAGCTTCATGATTATTCAGTGATTGATCTACGATCTGCGTATCTCCCCGTGCGGAGAGTGAATACTCTAAGATTAGATAGTGGTAAGTAGGATAACCTATCATAATTTTCGCATATAACTTCAGGGCTCTGTCCCTTATGTACAGATTAATATTGATTTACAAAATCCGTTAATATTGCCTACGTGAATAAGCTCATGTTTGTCGAAGTCTATTCCAAAATAAAACTTAGAATGAATCAAATTTAAATAAATTCATAAAAGTCGGAAACCAATAAATACAAATAAAAATATGTTAATAAAATAAATTGTCAAAAAAATACTTATCTGCATTTTAATCATAAGAATATAATATTTGTATTAACAATAAATATGATATGGAGAAACATACTTCCGAATTTGTTCATATAAGTATTTCAGAATTGTAGGTAGAATTTAAAATATATTAAGATGATGTTGAACCACTGTAGCGTCTTTCAAGCCGAAATAATGGCAATTCACCAAGCTGTAAAATGGGTTTTATGCAATCGAACATCCGATTTACCAATCTCAATTTTTTCTGATAGCCAAGCTGCCATCAGATCACTGATTGGCACCTCAGCCACATCAATCACAACTCAAGACTGCCGTGCTTCACTAAATGAACTAGCTAAGTTTGTTAGGGTCAAACTTATTTGGGTTCCTGGTCACAGGGATATCACAGGAAATTGTAGGGCAGACGATCTAGCCAAGGCAGGTGCTCTTCTCCCTAACATTAACCTCTCTGATATAGGCGTCCCACTTGCTACAGTTAAACTGGCAATCATACAAAAATACCTGAGTATAGCCAAGCAATACTGGGCTGACGAACCTCAATGTCAGATTTCTAGGTTGACTTGGCCGAACTTTGACAAGAAAAGAACCCGTCAGCTACTTCAACTAAGACGGAACCTGCTCAGCACTACGGTATCTGTGCTGACGGGACACTGCGTAATAGGAAGGCATGCTATGAGACTGGGTCTCCCCTTTAACGACTTTTGTCGAGGCTGTGGCTCTGAGGATGAGGAGGAGACTGTACTCCATCTCATGTGTCAGTGCCCTTCCCTAGCCAGAAGAAGATTAATAATTCTTGGATCTCCTTTTCTAACTGACCTGACTGAGTTGTCATCCTGTAAGGTTAGGGACCTAGCCAAGTTCATAGAACTGTCAGGTTGGTTTTCCTTTGCATAATGGGGGAGTCGTTACCTTTCTTTCGGCGTTAAATGTATACTGACTAAAATCTATATACAAATAACGTAACTCCTGTGATACCACAACGGGCCTTTATTTGTGCTTAAGTGGGCTTTTTGGGATACAAGGCCGCCACTCCAACCAACCAACCAACCAAGATGATGTTGAGAGATGTGAATTAAAAACGGTAAAAAAATAAATTAATTAAATATTCAATTACTAATACATCTTTTATTTTACATTGTAATGCAACCCAAGTCTCCTATCGATCATCAACCTCTGTTCGATATGAAATGTTGTTAACAACTTTATTTCATCTTAAATCATTTATGTAAATTAAGGTAATAATATATATTTAATAAAGTTTATTATTACATTTTAAAAATTAATTTGAATAATAATTACTAAAATGCATAATAGAAGACTTCGAGAACACACGAATTACACTACAATTGAACACTTGTTCTGGCCAATTTTAAGAAATATGCATTTTAATTAATTTTTAATTAAATTGCAAATAAATTCGATTTTAATTGTTCCTAACACACACTACACACATTGTAAGTTGTAATTAAATTAGGCAATAAATAAATACATAAGTGCAGAGTTCAGTAGTAAATGGCAAGTGTTTAGAGTGAGTTGTGTTTTATTCAAATAATTGTGGTAATGCGGTGTACTACATGAATGGTCGCACCGCAAAACTTGTAATTCATTTTGAAATAATTAATTACTACGTAAAACTAAAACAAAATTATTTTTGTAAATTAAATTAGTTGTCGTTGGAAGTCATTAAGACCGCAAACTTCTCAAAATTTCAAATAATAATATTATTTCAAAATTTAACTTTCCGAATGTGGAAACATAAATATGAATAATAATGATAATTTTAATAATATGAATATTATAAATAATGCGGTGTATATAAAACTATATAAATATTTTTCATATATGTATGTAGGAATGTTTATTTAATAGTATTTATTTAATAGTTATTGTTTAGTTATATATATCAAAGCGCGCAAACGACTGACTACCACGACGACGTAATACCAACTACTGCTTGTTTCTTTAAGCCTCTTCTCGTTCCTTTTTGCTGGCGTTGCCAGATTTTCCCGTTCCTGCCTACATGTATATATAATATATACTATATTTATATATATGTAACGTACTATATAATATACTATATATAAATTATATCGGGTGGTTTTTTAGCTCCATGAGAACTATCGATGTCGATTAGTTATGATTTGTCAACTGGGAATGTGAAAATGTGTTAACGTTTTTGATCGGTAAGATTTGAAAATTTATCATGAATCGTTTAACGCTAGAACAATGTTTCCAAATTGTGAAAATTTGTTTTGGAAAAAATACATCTGTTCGCGAAATTCATAGAGCACTTGGTCGAAGAATTGTATTTAGGAATGAAACTCATCTCTAGTTAAATGTCTACGTCAATAAGCAAAATTGCCGTATATGGAGTGAAGATGATCCTCAAGTCGTTAACGAATCACCATTACATCTAATAAAATTGACTGTTTGGTGCGGTTTACATGCTGGCGGGATCATCGGTCCTAATTTCTTTCAAAATGAGGGAGGTAAATGGCGAGCTCTAGCTGACTAAATATTTGTTTCCAAAACTTAATCAGTTAAACATCGACTTTAATTTAGCATTTGATTTGAACAATATAGCGCAATTTGCCATACAGCGCGCTTAACGATTTATTGCGAAATCAACTTTATTTCTAGAAGTGGCCTTGTTACCAGGCTCTCTCGTTTGTGTGATTTAACGTCTCTCGTTTATTTTTTGTGGAGATGTGTTAAGTCATTGGTTTATGCCGAAAACCGATAAACCAGCAACTCTTGAAGCATTGGAAGCTAATGTTCATGCTACCATTGAAGCTATACGGCCACATTTATTGCAAAAAATAGACAAAAA